ATTCACAGTGAATCTTATATGCTCTATAAACAGCAGAAATGTTTTTATGTTCAGCAGGTAAGTATTTTTTTGATGTACTGGCCCTACAATAGTGAGATGGAACAGCTGGTAATGATTTAATAAATTGATTAACTGTCTGTAGATTACTAGCAGGTGTTTTATTTGAGGGTTTATTTTTACCTCGTTTATCTTTTTTAGCAGTTAATAATTTAGATTTATTTGAATCAGTGTATTTTAAATAGATCTGTGTAATATTAAGTGTTTTCAAAAGAAATTGTTGACAAACTTTTGTCATTACACCATCAATTGGTAGAAAATAAGAATTTGAACAGGTTTTTTTAATATCAGTAGAACTTGAGTATCTTCTTTTTACTGGCTCAGTCTGTATTGATGCTATAAGAAAATCTTTTCTCTGCTGACCATCTAGTTCATAGAATGCTTCGAAAACATTTTGTCTTAATTCTTCAGTTATAATACCACAACTATTTTGACACTTTTTTGAGTAGCACGGGTTTGGTTGGACAGATTTTTCTTTAATTACAGTCCCTTTTCTAGTCTTATATGATTTTCCTTCTATTCTGAGTGTTGCATTTATCTTGCGTTTATTACCTCTAGACAATTTCTTGTAGGCACTTACACCAATCTGTGTATTATCATAATTATTTGCCTCTTCAAGTACCTCAACCTCCATGGTATGACAACTATTGTTTATGCTATTAGCTTCATTAATTATAATATTATTTATATTATAATCATTTGTACACATGTTCACTTCAAATGTAACATCATTATTAATAATACTACAGTTTTCTAGGCAGTTTGTATTTTTATTATTAGTGCTCAGTTCATTATTATTAATTGCTGTTGGTATGTTAATAACTATACAATCTTGAACACAAGTCATAGAGTCTTGAGTTATTTGTTCATCTACTTCATCTTGATTAGAAAAGACAACTTCTGTATCTTCATTTATTTTCAATGGAATAGAGTTTACCCATTTTTGAACATTTTTCATTTTATTAATTGATTTTAATTGATTACTTACATTTTGCTGATCGTTTGTTTGTATTCTGTCTCTGTTGTAATTATTTGGCAAAACAAGATTTATCATCTTACTAGCTCTATTCAATGAAGTTTTGGTATTCATAATGATATTGAAACGCTGTACACAATTAACTACAAAAAACCTGCATTAAAACTATAACTAGTTTACTAGTGTGTCTTATAACTAGTTTACTAGTGTGTCTTATACTGTTATTATCTTCTAAGTTCTTTAACATAATTCATTTAAGCATAAAAATAAAGTTTATTGTTTTAAAATAAAATGTTCTACGATGACTGATTAGGTTTCTTATCAGTTGAATTGTTATGATACACTCTATTATTTTTATTTATATCAGTGTTTTCAACGAATAACAACATTATATTGTAATAGTTATAATAATATAAATAATATAACAATAAATTACCGTATTAATTTAAATAAAACGTAGTAGAAAATAATACTTAAGTATAATTTTATAGTGGTTTACACTATTTGGCCTGTAAGATTGTAGACCACTTAAAACACTATATAGGGATATGCTGTAGGCTTACACTAATTGGCTTGCTGAAGAAAAAATTATTTGAACATGACGTTGATATTAACGTCGTGGCTTACATCAATTGACACTGTTTTAACAGTGTGTCTTACACTAAAAAAAATTTAATTAAGTTGAATTTAGACGGGAATTAATCATCTGAGGGTTACAATATTTGTCCACAATGTGTATTTTCTCTATAATAATCCATTTTAATCATAACCTGAAATTAGAAAAAAGTGAGGGTTACATCAATTGGCCTATTAGCCGACGAATTATATAGTAGGTATATTATTATTTGTATTACCCAACACTGTATTTAACATATTATTATATATAATTTGAACTGTTAATTCAAAAATAGTTAAAATCATCATTAAACTATCTTAAATATTTTTTTCAAGCATACAATTTAGACATTCAAAGCATACCAACCCTAAAAACATATAAACTCAATATTTTTATACTCAAGCACCCAATAATAATTAACATTAGATAAAAACCAAAAAGTCAAGGTAAGAAGATTTTAATAAAAAAAACATATAAAGCATAAAAGTTAAGCAAAGAATAGAAGAAGAAAACAAATAAACAATTTTAAATAAGCGCTTAACAAGCAGTTAAATTTTATATCTACTTTCCAGACTTTGAGCAATACTCGTTAAAGCTTCAGCTTTTTTTTCCTCAGCTGCAGCAATTCTTTCCAGCAATATTAATTTTCTTTCATAATAATTGGCCTTAATTTTTGTTTTTTTTTTGGCTTATAGCAGCAAATGATTTTGTGGCAGCAACAGTATTCTGCAAGTTGTTGATTTTTGATTTTTTTTTACCGCTATATACATTTCTATGAACAAATTAATTTAATTAATTAGAAAATACGTATACGTTTAATATTTAATATACATTTTTAAGTATGTAAGAACATTTTATTCCAAATATTAGAACTATACAAACCTAATTGATGGTTGTGATACGGTTGGGCCATTTGTTATAGGGTCATTAGCACAATTATCATCAACCACTTTATTTATATCTTCTACACTTGATAAAAGATCTTCAAGTCCTTGAGTCAAGCAACTGAGATAAAAGAAATAATTTTAAAAATTACACTTTTACGACATACATTTATATATTTTTAAATATAACAAACCCATCATTCCACATATTATCATCTGAGACATCATCTATCATAGCAGGCATATCATTGACCAATTCTATATTTGACTCATTTAAGCTTTGTGTTGATCTTTTGTACATTATAAAATTGAATAGTTAATATTAAAATAATTAATAATATACAATTTAATCTAATAATTAAATAAATGTTATTTGTTACCAAATAATTTAATATTGTTTGTTCTTTTAAAACACCTATGGAAATTTAGCATTTTGTCTCAACAAGAATCTAACTAAATTACAATTTACTATAATACACAAGATTAGTATTTAACTTAACATTAGCAACTACATTAGTACATTATTAGCCTACATAATAAACTTACAAATGTGGTACAAAAAACGAAATATCAGCAGTGCTTTCTTGCACTGAACTATGTCCTTCAACTATTGTCGGACCGATCAGTTCCAATATCTTATTTTCAAATTCACTAAACCCTTCTAAATCTACCTCTCCACCACCAGTTTTATTCCTTTCCTTTCTGTTACACCCTGCCTTACTCTTAAAATTTGTTTTTAAATCACACCATGTCTGAGTAAGCAAAAAAAAAAAAAAATAATAATAAAACTATTAAAAATCATTACACAACTATATAATACAATTACAATATATTATTATACATACCTTTCTCCACTCGCTCCAAGATTTATTTGGACCAACTTCAGAGTTTAAAACTTCTGAAATTCTTTCCCACAGCTTTAGTCTTTGTTTTACTGTAGACTTCGAGGTATTTTTCCCAGACACCAGTTCTGGATGTAATACCATGAAGTCTACTAGTAATTTTTTTTGTTAATCTGTAGTATTCGGCTTTCTGTATTTTTTCGTATCCATTGTAGAAAAAAACGAGTAAAACGATCAAATAGTACAGTAAAACCAAAAAATTTAATAAAAAAATAATAGAAAAACAAGGAACAATTTACGATGAGTTAAAGTTTTACTGCTTAGTAAGCGTCAATCAGTAATCATTAATAATTATCAAAGATAAAAAATATTTAGCCAATAATTCATAATTATAGCTATTATCATTATCATTTACCACATTTATTCTAAAATGCTGTGCCATGACTACGCTAATACTTATTTAATAATCTGCTCAAAAATGTTAATTATATTGGCACTATTTTGCCAATTTAGCATTAAACATAATTAATTGTTTTAATCATAACTATAACTATAACTCGAATAGCCAAACAGGTAAATTGAATTATGTTGGTCAATTAGTAGATCAATTTAAATAACTTTAAAAAACCAGTAGGTAATATTAGTTACACATTAAAAAAAACATTTAAACATATCAAAAATATCTGGTGCTCGTCAGTAGTGCGGCTGTCTAGACGACTAGACGAAGAGTACAATAAACTATAAAAATAATT